AAAGATGAACTCTCTCTCTCTCTCTCTAAAATGTAATCTCAGAATTTTCCACTCAAAGAAAATATGTGTGAGTTCAAGAATGAGTCTAAAGCCCACTTATAGTTGGAATGCTAAATAATACAACACTTAGAACATTGGTCCAACCAAACATAACTTAACTAATCGTTCTGAATCGATCTTTAATAAAACTTGCCATAGCGTTCTAAAAATTCCAAATAACACATTGATGTAATCAATTTCGGTTTTCGGATGCCGATAAGGCTTTCAATTTTCATATTAAAACGGAATTCCAAACAGATATTTCTACAAGTAACAGATAGAAAGCCAAAATCATGCAAACTACGGAATGAACACATAATTTATTTTAATCCTCTCATTAACATCCTTAAATACAAATTAGTAGCTAATTACGGATCGGGGTTATTACAGTTATGGAGCTCAGCGAGTGAAGCACTCGGGCACGCTATGCAGCACGGTTACGAAAGGCCAAGGTGGTACCGCCGGTCTACCGAGCTCCGCTAATATAGCCTGATAACTTGGTTAGGTGGTGATTGTTGAATTTGTGCTGACGGATGGGAAAGCAGCATCACGTGTCAAGAGACTAATGGGAGCAGATTTGGAGTGCAGAGAGTATATAAGTTTGACTGCGCCCCCCATGCTAGGGATGCATTATTTTGGTAAGAAACACTTGAACACTCAACTCTCTCCTCTCTCTCTCGATCCCTGAGTGTGTGCTAACTTGACCGTTGAAGGGTTTTTCCGGCCACACACCGCCGGGTAGCTCACCGCCGTTGTGTTCGCAGGTCGATCGGACAGATAAGGAGCTTGGTAGAAAGGAGTACGGGCACGCCGGAACATTTGCCCCCCGTACACTGTGTTAACTTAATCTGATATTGCTATTTGGAAACTCCCAAATAAGTCACTCTTTTTTCTAACTTTTTTTGCCTTACATATTTTCAAAATTATGTCAATTATTTATTTATTTATTTACTTTTTTGGTTCATCTTGTGCAGATGATTCTAAAAAATAATTTTTGTTTGAGAAATGTAAGAAAAAAATTTAAGCCAAAATAAGTATAAAAAAAATCTTTTTTTTTTTTTTTTGGTGTTTTTTTTTTTTTTTTTTTTTTTTTTTTTTTTTTTTTTTTTTTGGTGTGTGTGTGTGTGTGTTGTTTCAAACATTTTGAAATCTAACTATTCATTGTATGAATTCTTAGTAGTGAAGGTTCGTTCATGAATTTTCCTAGTGGCGGTAAGTCAAATGACTCGTGGAACTTCTTATTTAGATGGTATTATGGGGGACCATATTCGACAATTTGTTGCAAATCATCACGACTATTGTTTTCTTTTTTATTTTTATTTGTGAAATAAAATTTTAAGGGCAGTTACGTGTAGGTTTCATACATCGAATTTATTTATCAAAAAATCATACTTTTAACTTTTATGATAAATTTATCATTGTAAAAATCATATTCTAATTGAACTATTTACACTTATAACATCATATTTCAATACACATAAAAATAAATTAAAAATAAATCAAAACTCACAAATAAAAGTGAAACTATCTCAATAATTTATTACTTTAATAAATTTCTTAGCATCATACGATTACCAAATGATCATTACACAAATGCAAAATAAATCTAAAATGTTTAATAATTTTCTCATTATCAAAATGAGGAGAAAATATATGTAAAAAATTATTTACTATCTTACGATGCCACATCGGTTAACATATGCATCGGCTATGTGCATATAACCCTCTTAGGTACCTTTCCCTTGCAATCCGGTTTGTATCGTTTGATATCAGAGCCAACTACCACGTCGAGTGCCACATTGAGTATGGGGGATTGAATGGGTGTGACTTTTGCAGTTCGAGCCGTAGAACATGGTGGTATACGATCCCACATCAATTAGGACATTTAAATTGATGAAGATCCTTCTGAACCACAACATCATCATCTAGAAATACTACTTTCTCATGCTGTGTTTGGTTGGGAGATTTGGGGAGAGATTTAGAAAGGAAAAGAGAAAATGAAGTGGTTATTAAGCATAGGAAGGTAGTAAGTGATTTATACAATCATCTCTAATTAAACCACATGAACTGAAATTAGTGACTTTAGGGACTCTAAATAGATGAAATTGATAGTTGAAGAATTATTTTTGCAGACCAACTTGCAAGAACGTGGTAAAAATATAAGTAGACAGTTTAATAAAGTAAAATCCAAAAAATTATGAATTTTTTACGTACTAACGTTTGTATATGTTCTTTTCCTCAACGAACCAAACGGAGACCAAAGGTTTTCATATTTTATTTCCAAGGTAGAATACAAACGTGCAATCATTGTAACTCCACCGTAATATGTACTCATATTACGTGTGCATGACAATCTGTTAGTGAGAAGAGTGACAGAATCCCTGTTTTCCTTACCATGTGGATGAGGGAAATATTTTTAGAAGTGCATATACTAATAATTTTTTTGCAAATTCTTTCGTTTTTGTATTTTTGTGCTTTGTTTACGTGTACATGTTGGTAACTATATCAAAATTTTATATTGATGAAGATAACTATCATTTAGGTAATTGGACCATCTACTAATTATCTCAAATTTTATACCGATGAAAATCCAACATACCGTCATGACAATTGTTAGAATTGTTAGATGGTATAATAATAAGTATGCTCAATTTTTCAGTAATCTTTATCAAATTGTTTAATATTTTAATTTACTTTTAATACAAGTGAAAAATCTAAAA